CAAAGGGGGGGACCCGTTCATCCGTTTCTATTTGCATATTTTCTTTGTTGGGCTGCTGGATAAAACCTGGAACTAAACGCTATTTCTGACATTTTGATTTGAAAAATCTTCCTGGATGGAAGAGAAACGTCTTCAAACTTGGAAACAAAGTCCAGAGGATTGATTTGAACTTTTTTGGAATAAATATGACCTGGATAACTGAGAAGATTCAGGTTTTATGACTTTCTGAGACAATTAGATGCTTTTTCCATTTTCTCTGATGTCATCATGGGACATGCTCAGAGCAGTAACGTAAAATACGATCATGTTTATCTGCATTTTAGTTGTTTCTTTCTTTAGATTACGCACTATATACCATAATGTTAACACGAAAGGAAAATGTAAAACTCTTAACTGAAACGTTCAATCCAAAGCTGGAAAAGTTAGCTCCTGGGAGTAGCGTAGCATCCCATTTCTGGAACCGATCAGGCACAGAGGGATAAAACAGAAGGGATTTTAATACGTTTATTTTCTTAGGAAATATTTTATTAACCTTTAACATGTTGTAGTTTACTGTAACGTATGCTTACTTTTTTTAGGGAGGGAAAAACGTAATTTAGGTCTTTTTTGAAAAAGTAAAATTGATGGCGACCCGGATGTATATCTGATTGCCCAGATGAGCTGATGGTACGGATCGGGCGGTGACATGTATATCAGTACTGACTCTCTTTCCTGGTTATTTTCTAAGGTTTGAGATCATTTTAATCTTCTGTCCCTTTATGTTCCTAACAGTGCACTCTATTCTGAGGGTACTGGGCTTCTAAATGTTCCCAAAGCTAAAAAGATTAATAAAATAAAATTCCTTTAATGCCCAATCCTTGTGTCACGGTTTCTGACGGGTATTCTCTAAAGAGGTTTTTAAAGTCATGACCAATTGGTTAAATCTGTCTAATCTAAGTTATTTCTGACTCTAATTGTCTTGCTTTTCTTGCTCTCTGCTCCTAAACCATATTGTTTTCATTCATATTTGATTTTTCTATTCTTATTGACTCTTCAGCACTTTGTTTTAAAGCGCTTTGTTAATGAAGTTCGAAATATTATTAAGCTACTTGGGTTTGATTTAACCTTTTTATGTGTTGAGAAAAATCAAATGTTAAAAAATAAAATAATTTTAATAAAAATGTTAGCAGACATAAAGATTAAATGTAATTAAACCAGTTTAACAGTTCTTTTTAAGTTCTTTTTATTTCTAAGCTAATCAGAATTAAACAAACAAACAAAAAAAATGTCAAAAACCCATGACTGATTTTTGTAGTTGCTTGAGTAATTTAAAAATTTTCCATCTCAAAATAATCAGTCTAGAGTTATTTAACTCCTACCTGTCAGATTGGAGGAAACTGCATCGACTTCAACTCTTCAAAATCAATCAGTTTCTTAAAGTTTGATGTGAATGTATGAGTTTCAAACCCATTTCTGTCCCCTAACTTGTCCAAATTGGACAAGTACACTGAATCTATACATTTTTAATGTTGGTAGTCCACCATTTCTTTGTTACTAAAAATGGAATAAATTCCAAATATGAATTTGAATTCAGATTAGGTTGGTTTGCTCATTCTGAACTACCCATTTCACAAACTTGTAATGCTAGCTTAGACATGATTGGATTTGTTCAAAATGTGTATAGTCCCATGCATTCTTATGTTCAGACTTTGGACCTTTTGCTAAAAAAATTAAAAACAGTATTTCCTCATAACCCGGACCGATCTGACCGCTTTTTTGTAACCTTCAAAATTACTTTAAACCAAAGATGGTTTCATTCTAGAGTCAGATAGTACAGTGAACATTTTAAAGAATCTGTCATTTTCTCCTCCCCTGTATCACCGATTAACTTCACAAATTGATTATTTTTTGATGTGGTTACTTTCTTTTTTGTGCACTGCTTCAGACAATGTAGAAATTTATAAATATGAGGCTGGCTTCTTAGTTTAATACAGAGAATCTCCTCATTAATAGAGGAGAATAAGAATAGTCCTAGATATCTTTTTACATGTAATCCAGTTGCCAAACTCACCCAGAGCCATAGCTCTGTTGAACCGTCCATTCCATCTGCTCTTAACAGTAACGATTTTATGGGATTCTTTATAAATAAGATTGATCTTAATAAAAATAAGATTATTAGCACTCCTCTATTCGCGATTGATTTGTCTCTGGAGGGG